CTCTGATCTTCTCCTTCTATTTGGGGGTGTACAACACTCTACAGACAGGAAGCAACGGTGGGTAGTTATCAGGTTAATTAAATGCAGCTGTGCGCTGAAGAAGCCAGAGCTTCAAGAATGTGTCAAGACAGTCTTCAATGAGTGAGTCTTTTAAGAAGGTGTGAAATTAGCATTTGTCACACCAGGAATAAAGGTGGCTTAAGGTAGGTCTTCCCGAAGCATTGAGCATCTCGGCTTCCCCAACACTGAAACTGCGAGTTATGGTGCTTGGATGTGAGATGGAAGCTGCCTAGATGGCCCTAAATTGTTGAGTGTCAACTCTCTGCATTGGCTATTCTCACTGGGGTTGTTCCATGACATCTAGAGAGACACAGGGTGTCCATTTTGGGGGGAGGAGAAAAGTTATCACCATAGCCATTAAACATGTAAGAGCTGTAATGAAACAGAAGTAAGCCAGAAAAAAAAACTAAGGGGAATAGCTATGAAATCCAGATGATGTTATAGCATCAAAGTCAGCAACAGAAGATCCTATGCTGGGCATCATACCTTGAGCATTTATGATATGTTAGTAGAAGCTACCAACTCAGAGATATTTTGGAGGGTAAGTGGAAATAATTGTCTTTTCCAAAGATTGCCACATCCCACAACTGAGATCGCAACCCAAACAATGACGATGTCCTGATACAGCATCATTGTGTGAGATTTCATCAATTATGGAGCAAGCCAGAGGGAATCAGCCAATGGCTCCAAAGCTTAGGTTGATTCCTGCTTCTCCTTGCCCCCCGTGGTTACAAACCCAAGCTCCAGTTGATCCTTTCTTCCTTTTAGAGACAAGTGAAACTTCTCACAATGGGAGAAGTCTTCTATTGGCCTAGGTTAAATGCTGTGGCTTCATTGATATCATCACACCTGCTGAAGTCTAAGCCGTGGTGTGGTTACAAGATAATTAGACAAGGATTGTACCAGATGGCACCACCATAAAAAAAAGATAAAGGCAAATTGAAATGTAGAGTTTGAAATGCATTGCGGGCAACCTAACAATGAAACCGGATCTGAGATCAGCGCTTTCAACTTCCAGAGCATAATAATATTAGACATTGCCATCTATATTAGGGTTTTTCCAACCTTGGCAACTTTTAAGACTTGTGGACTTCAACTCCCAGAATTCTGCAAAGCTGGCTGAGAAAAGCAAAGCTGGCTGAGGAATTTTGGGAATTGAAGTCCACAAGTCTTAAAGTTGCCAAGGTTGGAGACTTCTGATCTCTGTTACCTTTTCTCAACTTGATCCCTCCCCCCAGCTCATTTTTCAAAGTTCTTTTGTCCTTGATTTGCCCACAACCTTCTTCACTTTCTTTGATGCCTCTCTTGGTTCCTTTGTTGTGAGACTTCATTGCTGCTTCTCAACCTCGGGCCATCTGTGAGAAAACCGAACCTTCCATCTTCTTATGCAAATGCATAAAATAATACTCTTATTTTCACTCGATGTTTTTGAATCCCCTCAAACTTGTCTCTTTATGAACCGTGCACTTTCTACAAGAGGAAAGCTTAAGGTTGAGTGTTTTCTACATTCCGGGGAGCTTTGAATGGCACCGTAAGCCGTGTGCAAAAGGGTCTCCCCGCCTTTACATCTGCGAAAGTCTTGACTCTTAATGCCAAGTTGTCATTGGAAGTGAAGGATTTCAGATTGCTAGCAGGGAGCTGGCTTCTTGGCAGCCACCAGGCAAAGCGAAGGCGGGGACACGAGCAACGATGTCTTGCAGAATGATTATAAATGGCCTCATTCCCCGCACAATGGTGGCACGGGGCCAGGGATTTGATTTCTGACAAAGCTTAGTTGGAAAGCTCAAGGCCGGAGTGATCTGGGTCCATTAATACAAAGCGAGCTTGGCTGTCCTGTTGCAAAGAGAGAAAAAACCAAGGCGGCCAAGACTTCCATGGCCAACGGCTCGCTTTGATGTATTCAGGGCACGGAGAAGCAATCAAGGTGCCGGGCTTGGACTGGAGATGGGACTTTCAATAATAAGAGGCTCCTGCAGCCTGCCAAGACCACCGCAGATCGTGGAAATAAAGGAGATGGGATCGCAGATTCAGCATTTCAGTTGGCTTGTGAGATTTGCTTCCAAAGTTTGACAGGGTTTCTCAGCTGGGTCTGTTCCGTAAATCAGACCGGCCCTTGGTCTTCTGGGATGGCCAAGACTTGATGTAGGTTACAGTGTTTGGGCTGATATGCTTTGCTGGTGGTCTCCGCCAGGCCAGGTTGATAGAGAAGTTAGCTAATGCCGACCAGTTGTTGCTTGACAAAGAAGAAACAGAAATGAGACCGAATGAATTTCTCATCTTTTCATAGTACTGGGGATAATTCAACGGAGACCAAGTATTGGGAGAAAAATCTTTCGGAGATCCTGTTAGAAATTCTCTGCTCTCACTAAAAGTCCTCTCCTCTCCTCTCCTCTCCTCTCCTCTCCTCTCCTCTCCTCTCCTCTCCTCTTCTTCCCCTTCCCCTTCCCCTTCCCCTTCCCCTTCCTCCTCTTCTCCCTTCCCCTCCCCCCTCTTCCCTCTTTGTCTCTGTTCTCTCCTCTCCTTTTCTCTCCTCTCCTCCCTGCTTGCCAATAGAGGACAACAATGAACATAACCCAGGCCATCTTTTGTTTCCTTGGCCTAGGAGGGAGGGAAAAACTATAACAATCAGATAGTGAAAAGCTAACCTGGAATCAGAAGTTGGTTCTGGGTGCCTTGGACCCATATTATATATCCTTGGAATCTCTGGAAAGGCTAGGCTGAACTCTGCAGCTGGCTGTGTGCAGTTGGTTATGCCAACATGTCCTTGGCTGGCTTAAACCAACTGTGCACAGTTGGTTTGGTGCATCCTGTTTAGCCCAATCAGTTGTGGTGGTTTGTTGAAGAAGCAGCAGTTAAGGGAAGTCAGCTTTGTGCAATGGAGGAACCCAGGATAAATCTCCGTCTGGATTCAGAAAAGCGCTTCTCCTGAGCACCTTTATTTCCTCTGGTGTCATGAAGGATGGGTCAAATCCTATCTTGGGTCATGCCATTGCGTGGCATTCATTTCTTCCCATTGTTCCGGCAACCAGTTATTTGGTTAAATATGCATTTTTATCTCTCACTGAGTTGGATGTCCAAGGCTGACCTTTTGAAACAAAGGTGGCCTATAATGTTATCTCCCAGACCTTTAGCTGGTGGAGTTTTATCTACGAAAAACCGTCTTCTGACAGGCACCACCGAATGACCCCTCCCATCGCAGGAGTCTTAACCAGTGTTCCATCCTCTGTTTCTGTTTACTCTGCTTGGCCATTCTCCAAATTGGAGCATTTTTGGTCATAGCTGTTCAGCAATTTGGCTGATCAACTTGCATTCAATTTCACGTTGTCTGTACCCATCATAATTGTCAACAGAATGAAGTTGGTTTGCAGGCATTGGGTGATCCGGAATGGTGTAGTATCTCCTGCTTAAGCGGGGAATGGGGGTGGACTAGAAGACCTCCCAGATCCCTTCCGACTCTGTTATTCTGTATTCTATGATTTGGGGTTAAGTTCTTTGGCCAATGGGAGATAGCTACGGGCTGTTCAGTGTTCACTTTTTGGGCCTCCAATAAAAACTCTGGGATTTTTTTTCCCCCTAAGGGCAAAGCTAGTTAGATCCGGGAATCAACTACATTGAGCTATTTTCTACTCATCTAAGGAACTGCATGTTTTCATCTATTTTGGCAATTTCCTTGCATGTTTTTAAAAATGCTGGAAATTTTATGTCTCCCATTACTTGGTACATTCTCTTGTACAGAGAGATATGTAGATAATGTATATTTCATTTACCGAGCTTCTGCAAAGCTTCATCTTATGTAGAGCTTTCCATGCAACAGTGAATGTTTTTGTGTGTGCATGCATGCGTGTGTGATGCATTTAGCGCAACCCAAATAAGTTGAACTATCTAATTCCTCCAATTTATTTCCATTGAAATATTTAATGGATGCCTTGTATACCCCTGTTAACAATCGTTATAATTAACAACGTAGGCATTTTTACAAACTAAAGTAATTGTGATTTTATTTACAAGTTTTAAAGTCACCCAACTATTATGGAGTTGATTGGCTTTCTAAATCCAGTCAGTCAGTCAGTCAGTCAGTGAAATCAATTTTGCAGATTCTTGTCATTTCCAAACTGGTAGGAAATTGTACCCTAAACTTTCTATGAGGAGCATTGGAAGAGCTGTAGAAGTGGGCCGAATGTATCAATGGAGCTTCAGGATGAAGCATCCAAGATGTCGGAAAAAGTGTGGCAAAAACTGGAGGGTGGAGTTAAAAGAGGAATCAGCCATCCCTACGTAGTCACAAATGAACTAAGCAACACCCCTTGAGTGCTGTCGATCCTCATTTAACTCTAAGCAGGTGCCCACTGTTAGTTGAAAAGATTCCTGTACAGAGGCAATATTTGGCAATAAATCAGCTTAATTGAACCTTCATGTGCGGACCTGGTCTTTTGCTGGTCTTTTGCTCCTGATTGAAAATAAACTTGGGAAATGTCTGTGCGATCTTCAAAGTCGGAGTGACCTTTTCCCTGCTCAAACCACGTTCCCCCCCCCTTATGCGTCCTTCTCTGCAGACTAAATTGATTCTCTTTTATCAGTTGATTGATCAGCTATCATTTCTGCAACTGCCCGAGAGTTCTAATTATCTTAGTTATTATGAGATATGAAAAAGCAAAGCAACCAAGGATTGCAAACACCTCTATTTCATGGCTTATTTGCAGTTTAATCTTGATTAGATTTAAGGACAGCTTCCTCCTTCTCCAGGTATCTTAGCCCCACTTTTCCTTATTTGCTCACCTTTGAAGGCACGGCATGGAATATACCGGTACTTCTTTTCTGTAACAGGAAAAAGATAATTTTGTATATGTGGTTTTGATTTTCGGTTAAGTCTACAGCAGTTAATTAGCAAGTTCTTGTTCCTCTTTTAATTTTTTTTCTCCCCTTTTTCCCTCTCTTTCCAGTTTCTTGCACCTGGAGCTCAGAAGCAATTCCTGTAACTTGCTTTACAAGGGAATAAATTTGCTTTTCCCCCAAACTCGGTGCTTCTACTGAACCTACATTTTCACGAGAGACCTTATTAGTCTCCAACGTCTTGTGGGAAAGGAAAGTCTGTAATTTTGGACTCTAAAAAAAATTGGCAACTTTCAAGTTCCTGGGATTCTACCAAGGTAGGAATTTACTCATTTCGGTTACCTTCAACAACAAGCAAAAGTCAACATTCATAAAGTGCCTAGTAATTATTTTAAAGGTTATTGCTTTCTGCTTTCTAAGATCTTTATTTAAAAAAGCAAAATAGAGTAATATCTAACTCTTTGTGCTAGAGGAGTCGCGATGCCAGCCAAAATCTGAGATGTTCAGATGTAACTGAGTAAAATTTGGGACAAGCATGAAGATTTATTTGATTGGTTCACCAAATCCAAAAATGTTTAAAAACGGAAAGTGCAAATAAAAAAAATAATGGCAAGTCTGTTTCATGCGAATCCGTTGTCTCATCAACCTTTCTTTGAAGGAAGAGATGATTGGAGTGTAGACATTTTCCTAATTTGATGGGTATCTATTGGTCCTCTCTAAATGGTTGGTTGTTTTTCTTGTCAATGTGTCTTCATCCAGGTGTGGATGAGAAGTTTGATAGTGCAAATGGTATGTTAGCATCCTAGGTTATGAAAGAAAGATTTCACTGCTTGTGCATTGGATGGAAAGTGTAGCTTGATCTAACCCAGTGTTTCTCAACCTTGGAAGCTTGAAGATGAGTGGACTTCAACTCCCAGAATCCCCCAGCCAGCTGGCATAAGTACATAAGTATTTGAACTGTGTGTTGTGTGAACCCTTAATACAAGTTAAAGCACACCTACAAGGTTGTGCAATGGTTGTAGAAGTAGGGCTCGCTTCTGCATTTCACTGTTGCCCAAAGAAGGCTCCTTGTTGTCATTTTGGACAACTCTTGGTACTTTGGTGTGGTCTGTTCAACAAGGCACTTGGCATAGAGCTCACCACTCACCACCTTTAAGAGATTTGAAGACTATGTGTTGACTTCACAGAATCTGCCATATTTAGATCAATCACAATTGGGTTGACTAGTGGAGGATGAAAATATGGCTCTCTCCTTGCTTCAAATGAACAGAACATTTTCATTAGGAACCCAAACATCCCTTTTCCTTGGAGAAGTCATCCTGGGTCTTGCCTTCCTGTTTGCTGAGTACATACATTTCAGTTGTCCTGCAACAGTGGTGGGTTTCAAATTTTTTTATTACCAGTTCTGTGGGTGTGGCTTGGTGGGTGTGGCATGGAATGACTTGGTGGGTGTGGCTTGGTGGGCATGGCAGGGGAAGGATACTGTAAAATCTCCATTCCCACCCCACTCCAGGGGAAGGTTACTGCAAAATTCCCATTTCCTCCCGATCAGCTGGGACTTTGGAGGCAGAGAATAGATGGGGGTGGGGCCTGTCAGAATTTTCACTACCGGTTCTCTGAACTACTCAAAATTTCCTCCACTGGTTCTCCAGTACTGGTCAGAACCTGCTGAAACCCACCTCTGTCCTGCAAGCTTTACCAAGTATGTTTGAATTAAATCTGTGCACCCAAGCCAACATCTGAATGTTTGTGGAAATTCTCAACCATCCAGGTCATGGTTGTCCCAAAGCAGGGTGAAATGCTACCGGTTCTGTCTGGTTAGGTTGAACTTGTAATGATAAAAACTACCGGTTTGGGAGAACTGGTAGTAAAAAAAAGCTACCAGTCCAGTTGAACAAGTAGTTAAAAAGCTAACAGTTCAGGCGAACCGGTATTTCCGATGATCAGCTGTGCTGCATGGTTTATATCAGCTAGGAAGCAGGAAACCTTGCTTTCTAGTGAAGCTAAATTGTGTGGCACAGCTGTTTCCCCCCCCTTCACTGTTCTATTTACCTAGTGAAGTCTTCTTTTTCTGTGTGAAGCACACATTTGGCGTGGACTACACATGCATGGGCAGAGAACCAGTTGTGATCCGCGGAGGATTTTACCACTGTCCCAAAAGTGCTTTTCCAAAAGTCCAACTGGACTTTCTTGGTTTTTTTTTTTTTTACTTGAAAATGTTTCACTTCTCATCCAAAAAGCTTCTTCAGTTCAACACCTGAACTGAAAGCACCTTTGGGAGAAGATTTGGATGTATATTTCAGAATGTATTTCCTTCCTTCCTTCCTTCCTTCCTTCCTTCCTTCCTTCCTTCCTTCTCTCCATGCATCAATCTCCTTCCTTCCTTCCCTCCCTCCATCAATCTTCTTCCTTCCTTCCTTCCTTCCTACTCTCCCTCCATCAATCTCCTTCCTTCCTTCCTTCCTTTCTTCCTTCCTTCTTTCCTTCCTTCCTTCTTTCCTTCTCTCCCTCCATCAATCTCCTTCCTTCCTTCCTTCTTTCCTTCCTTCCTTCCTTCCTTCTTTCCTTCCTTCCTTCCTTCCTTCCTTCTCTCCCTCCATCAATCTCCTTCCTTCCTTCTCTCCCTCCATCAATCTCCTTCCTTCCTTCTCTCCCTCCATCAATCTCCTTTCTTCTTTCCTTCCTCCCTCCCTTCCTTCTTTCCTTCCTTCTCCCTCCATCAATCTTCTTCCTTCCTTCCTTCCTTCCTTCCTTCCTTCCTTCTCTCCCTCCATCAATCTCCTTCCTTCCTCCTCTCCCTCCATCAATCTCCTTTCTTCTTTCCTTCCTTCCTTCCTTCCCTCCCTCCCTCCCTCCCTCCCTCCCTCCCTCCCTCCCTCCCTCCCTCGAAATGCTCATTTTTAAATGCATTTGAATTTTATTTATTTCTGAGCTGCAAATTGGGTCTGGTTTCTTCCCAAATCAGCCCTGGCCAACGCTTTCGAGCCTGTTCAGAGGCAGATGCTACAAGATATTCTAGTGTGTGTATTTGTGTGTATGTGTGCATGCGTGTGAGATCAACTTGCACAGTTTAGCTTCCTCCCCCTCCCCCCGAACACATCCAGGATCTCTTTCTGCAAGGCAAGCACTGCCTTTGCCAAACCAATTTCTCTCCCACTTTTGAGATTCTTAACAAGGCTTAAATGAGGTGGGTAAACTTGAAGCCTTGCAGCCGGTTGAGCTCTCTTGATACTCCTTTTTTTTTCCCCTGAGCTTCTAGAATTCATCTTAATAAAACCCTGGAGATTTCCCAAAATAAACACCATGTTTTCTTCCCTTATTTTCCTTCCTGCAGTCAGAAACTGGAGGTTTCTTTCAGCCAAGGGGGCAGAGATGGGGGAAGGAGTTGTTGACACACCTTCTGGGCGAGAGGCAGATCATTAGCATGGGGTTGTTTGAAAGCGACACCTGTCCGAACACAAAACCCTACTCATGCTCTGTTGTTTGTATTGGTTGGTTTTCTTTCCCGCTCTCTCATTATTGTGGTCGGTTGTGCAGTTAGCCAGATGTTTAGACTGGGTTTGGCATTTTTGTCCACCCATCGGGACCTTCCCAAGGACCTAGGAGAGGCACAGATGTTGTTCTCTGATGGATTTTCACCTTGCTAAAAAAACCAAACAAACCCCATTACCTCATTGGAAATGCATTGCTATCCCGGACTGGTCTTTCTTCCCAAGTTCCCATTGTCAGCATTCCAACAGATTCCCTAATTAACTCATGAGCCTCGAGCCAAGTTTCAAAAGAAATCCAATTATTTATTAGGAGCAACATGTCAGCAACTTCCCAAGTGTAGTCAACTCTGCCGCACGTAATTTATGGCTCAATTCTGACCCTGTCCCCACCCCCATACCTCCTCTCAGGCTGTGTCATAAATCACATTCTCCAATGAGGCACTTTCGCGGGCTGTAGAAAACACACTTTACAAGCCGGCTCTGGTAATCTGAGATCCAATCTTGGAGGAGGGTATGCATGGAATGTGTTTTTGCACATGGCTCTCAAACTGCTCCGTCAGTTCTCCACCCTTTCGACCTATGGCAACTCGAGAGCAGACTAGAAATGCTTTGCAACTTGTCACCCATCTTCCCCCAAACAATTTCCCTCAGAGCGCACAATAGTTTGACTCTCCATGTCTCCTGGACTCTTCATTTCCAAAGCCTCCTGTGAGATGATTTTTCACTTCAGCTAAAGAGGCAATTTCTTGATTTGGTTTGCTAGAGCTCCTGGAGAGACAGTAAGTGGCTATCATTTTCCCAAAGAAGTTTAAACGCTTCTTTCTGGCCTGTGGGTTGCAGTGAGTAGACAACTGGTATTTCAAAGGTGTTGATTCAGATCTCCCAGACAATAACCTGGGATCTGCTATGATAGAGGGAGTTGCAGTGCTCCCCTTATCTGGAGTTAAGATACTGGGCTTGTCCACCGGAAAATCAACGGCCTGAGTTCGAGACCTGAGCGCCACGTGATGGGGTGAGCTCCTGTTACTTGCTCCAGGTCCTGCCTACCTAGCCATTCAAAAGCATGCAAAGATGTGAGTAGATCAATAGGTACCACTTTGATAGGAAGGTAACAGTGTTCTGTGTACCTTTAGCATACAGCCATGCTGGCCGTATGACCAGGTGACCAGGCTCAGCCTGAGTGAGAGATGTCATCAATTCTGAGTCCCTCCATGCCCACCAGAGATCTAAGTTCAACTCTCCTTGTATTCCACTGACTCTTATCTATCACCATTTTGCTTTGACTGTTAGTAGTTCAGATTTTTGTAGAGAGCTTTAGCACACATAAATGTATAAATTCATTCGAACTGCCTGGACTCCTGATTTTTCTGCACTTGATAGTTGTACCCTACTTTCTGGATCAGGTGCCTGAACACAATTTGTTCTAGTTCAAGCCAGTAGTGAAATCCAAATTTTTTTACTACCGGTTCTGTGGGCATGGCTTGGTAGGCATGGTGTGGCGTGGTGGGCATGGCTTGGTGAGTATGGCAGGGGAAGGATACTGCAAAAACTCCATTCCCACCCCACTCCTGGGGGAAGGATATTGCAAAATCCCCATTTCCTCCCCACTCCTGGGGGAAGGATACTGCAAAGTCTCCATTCCCACCCTACTCCTGGGGGAAGGATACTGCAAAATCTCCATTCCCACCCCACTCCAATGGGAAAGATATTGCAAAATCCCCATTCCCTCCACACTCTGGAGTTCTCCGAACTACTCAAAATTTCTGCTGCCGGTTCTCCAGAACCTGTCAGAACCTGCTGGATTTCACCCCCTGGTCCATGCCTTG